TATTTATATTTATATTTATATACTTTTTTCCCCACAGCCTCCCAAGGGCTGGGATTACAGGCATGCACTACCATGCCCAGTCTCAATCTCCATCTCAGTTCGCCTCCGGGGCGGGGCCGGCACAGCATGCTGGATTGAACCCCAGCTGCTGCATCTGCCTAAATAGGCGCTTTAATTTGCTGAGCTATTTGGCTGGTCCCTAAATATATACTATTAAATTCTCTGAAAGTAGCATTTGAGAGTTTTGAAAAAAAGAGGAGGAATGTATTGTACCCCTTTGAAGACAATGAATAGATTATATATCTCTTGAGAATAGAAGTGGAAATAAGATGGCAATAATGAGGATAGGTAGACTTCTAAAGCAAAATGTTTCCCTCTCAAAATTGGATCACAAAAAAAAAAAAAAATGGATCACATTTTGGAGAGAATATTGTATAGATTCATACATCTTGGAAATTTGTCTTTACAGAATTGAACCATAGACTATGGTAGATTATTTAGGGCTTCTAATTTTTTACTCTTTAACTCAAATAGTTCATATATTTATGCAAATTAAAATTTTCTATTTTTCCTTTGTTTTCATTTCTAGTATCGTTACTCCTGTGAGTAAATTACATTTTCGTGTGTGGAGTCACCAGACACTGAAATCTGATGTTTTATTGGGAACTGCTGCATTAGACATTTATGAAACTTTAAAGTCAAACAATATGAAACGTATGTATGTAGGAGTAATAGAAATTGTGTTTTGCTTGTTTTTTTTTTAGTTTTTTTTTTTTTTTTTTTTTTTTTTCTGAATGCCCTCAGGCGTGTTTTGGCTGGCAGGAGTGTTGTGGGAATCGAACTACGGGAACTGCTGCATTAGACATTTATGAAACTTTAAAGTCAAACAATATGAAACGTATGTATGTAGGAGTAAAATTATGCAAGTTTTGCTTGTTTTTTTTTTTTTTTTTTTTGTTTTTTTTTTTTTTTTTAGTGTATGTGTGTGTTGCTGGGGATTGAAGCCAGAGCCTTGTGCGTGCAGGTCAATTGCTGTACCACTGACCCACATCCCAGCCCTGGTCTTTCCTTTTCTGAACAAAATTACTGTGCCTAACATTCAGAATGATTTATGTTTACTATTTGCCTAAATTTTAAGTTTATTTGATTAATGGATTAAGAAGGAAAAGAATCTTACCTATATAAAGCATTTTGAGTAACCTTGTTTTGGCTATATAGTTTGGAGCTAACATTTTAAGTAAACATTTATTTACTTAGTAAATAGTTTTTAAGATAATACTTTTAAAAAAAGATAATACTTGAACAATTATGGAAAACCTAAAAAATTTAGAGCAGAGGAAAAAGAAAACAATCACTTCAGAGAAAAATTTGTTTCCTATTTTGACAGATACAGGAAGTAAAAGGTATGGGTGGACTATTTTGTTATTTGAAATGTTTATTTTTGCTGAATCCTCTAGTTTTAGAGGGATGTGGTTTTATTTATGTTTACAACACTTATAGTGTGCTCATTTTAATAAATATGTGAAACTCTAAAATACAAATATTTTTTCCATCCTTCAGCTGTATATAAAACATACTTCCAAGAATTTTCTTTCTTATTTAGACTTGAGATAAAAATCCGTTCTTAAATTTTTAATTGAGGGCTGGTCAGATAGCTCAGCGGACTAAAGCGCCTGCTTAGGCAGAGCACAGTGGCTGGGGATCCCCAGCGTGCTGCCCCCGCCCCCCCAGGCTTGCTGAGACTGCGATTGAGACTCAGCATGGTGGCGCGCACCTGTAATCCCAGCACTTGGGAGGCTGAAAACAGGAGAATCACTATGAGTCTGATCTGTGTAGTGAGAACCTGTAAACCCTGGGTACCAGGGATCAAACTTGGGATCTTACACTTGCCCGGCAGGTGCTTAGGTCACTGAACTATCTCCCCAGCCCCCATACATAGTTTATTGTCCATATCAGTATTGCTTGAGTTGAAATATGACTCCAAATTTAGATCTGGTCCTAAATACAGAAAACAAATTTTTTTAATTGATATAATTCAGATATATATACCAAGGAATTTTTGTTGTTTTGCTACTTCATTTTATACTGAAACCTTACAAAGGTGCAGTGAATATAAAAATTGAAATGATTGAGTATTATATATTATGGGGATTTTATTTTTTTTAAATACAATATTTTAGTGTCAAAAGACCTCAAACTTTGGATGAAGTACAGCAAAATTATATATGTGTACATATATATACATATATATGTAGTTTTTCTTGACATTAGATTTTTGAGTTATTGTAGATTAAAAGAGAAATATGACCATATTTTTCTGTAATGTTATTCTCTTTCAGTTGAAGAAGTGGTTGTGACTTTGCAGCTTCTAGGTGACAAAGAGCCAACAGAGACAATAGGAGACTTATCAGTCTGTCTTGATGGGCTGCAATTAGAGGCAGAAATTGTTACTAATGGGGAAACCCCATGTTCAGAAAGTGAGTGGTCACTTTTAAGCTCTTTCATGATTCTTGTTCCCAATAACCACTGTCTATGCCTTATGTAATTATTGCTGTTCTTTTTCAGAAAAGAGAAACAATTTTATTTTCTTATTGAAAAACAGAAAAAAAAAAGAAAAACAGACATTGATTACCTTAAACATTTTATTATATTGTTCTACTCATAAAAATTATATTTTTGTAGAAATTGAAAAGCTAAGGGCTGGCCAGATAGCTCAGTGGATTAAAGTGCAAATTTAGGCAGGAGGAACTGGTGTTCAATCCTTGGCATGGGGTGCTGGCCCCACCCCCAGGGCATGCTGAGCTGTTGATTGAGACTGGATGTGGAGGCGAATGCCTATAATCCCAGCACTTGGGAGGCTGAAAATGGGAGGATCACTACAACTCTGATCTGTGTAGTGACACCCTGTACTAAATACATTGAAAAGAAAAGCTTGTCAAGTCAAAGAAGCTGAGGCAGAAGGATCACTGAGTTTGAGGCCAGCCTGGGCTAAAAAGTGAGTTCATGGTCAGCCTCAACTGCTTGGTGAAACCCTTTGAGGAAGAGGAAGAGGGGAAGGGGGAGGGAGAGGGAAGGAAGAAGGAAGAAGAAAAGTGACTCATAGTTGGCTCTATGAAAAAGGGAACTGATTTTTTTTTTCATAATTTTATTGAGAAAGGGGAACTGATTTTTAAAGTACTTATTCTGTATGGCAATTAATATGGTATCTTTGATGGCAAACCCCTGCCATTGCCAGTGGCATACATAGTTTAGTTTTTATATTTTGGTGGTACTAGGGATCAAACTCGGGACCTTGCACTTGCCAGGCAAGCGCTTAGGCCGCTGAGCTATCTCCCCAGCTCCCCATACATAGTTTATTGTCCATATCAGTATTACTTCAGTTTAAATATGACTCTAAATTTTTTGTAGCACTGTACCAGATAACTAGTATAGATAGAAATCTCTATGCCGTTCTTTCATTTCTGTGAACTATACTTAGAGGGATCTTTTGTGTTACTGTAATGACAGAGCAAATTTATTCATTCATTTATATATAAGTATATAATTTTATAGAAATTTTGCTTTCATAGTTTTCAAATTCTTTTAAACTCATTTGTACATTTTTCTATGCAAAATCAGAATATTAAATAAGTACTTAAAAAGCCAATAAAATTCCTTTTTTCATATTATTTTGTTTTTATTTGCCTTTGGAAACTCTATAAAATTTGAAATATTGATGTTATAATATGTCATTGTTTCAGTTAAGAATTTAGTCATTACTTTGTATAATAAAGCATATATATATTTTTTTTCCTTTTTTTTTTTTGGTTGGGAGGGTATTTGGGATCAAACTCAGGACCTTGCACTTGCCAGACAGGCACTTATGCCACTGAGCTATATCCCCAATCAGATTTGTATTTTGATTCAATGTGTGTTTAGAATATAAACCAACATAATGAAATGAGCACCCATGAAATTATCCTACAGTTTAAGGATTAGAACATTAACAGTATTATTGCAACTCCCTGTAGTTTCCTTTCTGTATCTCTTCTTTCTGCTGGGATAATCATTATTCTAAATTTCAAATTTAGTATTCCCCTTGGTCTTCAAAAAACTTCATCTTATGTGGTCAAAAGCATATTATTTTTATTTTTTCTTCAACTTTATAGTATCAATATTACTTTCTAAGACTTACCTATGATGTAGTTTAGTTCATTTACTTTTACTGTTGTGTAATAATCTATTGGATACCTATATATTAGAGTTTATGCACTTTTGTATCCAAGGGCATTTGGATTGTTTTCAGTTTTTTTTTTTTAATTTTATTTATTTGTGTGTGTGTGTGTGTGTGTGTGTGGCCAGCTCAGCCCACCAGGGGGCAGGGCTGGCTGGCATGTGGTGCTGGGG